CATGTCTCCTCGCGTTCCCCCGACCCTTTGCGTGAGGCGACCAGCCCGGCCCGTGCCCAGCTGGAGCTGCAGGTGCTGCCTTTGTCCGGGGGGGTTCCTTGGAAGGGGCAAAGGGGAAACTGCCCCACGGGGCGATGACCCGGGCAGCCCCTTCCCCTGGGTGACAGAGCACGGTGGGGACGGTGGCAGTGCTGGGGAAGGGGGTGCAGGGAACAGGCTGTAGGGTTGGTGGCGAACGCTCGCCTCGGTGGCCTGGTGTGGCCGGGGAATCCTGTGCGTGCACGAGGAGGACAGCGGGGAGGTGCCCAACGGGGCTGAGACTCGCCTGCACCCCCTGTCCCGTCTGCAGGCTGCGAAAGCAGGCAAGACCCTCTCTGTCCCCGTCCCCAAGCCAGAGGGGAAGGATGTGGGCTCACCTGGGCTGCGTGCCGAGGCTGTGCATCCCAGCCTGACGATGCTGAAGCCCTGGAAGGCAAATCTCGGTGTGCCAGACCCTAGCTGGCACTCGGGTGGGTCAGCGCTGCACGAGTCTCCGCATACAAGCCCAAGACCAAGGCAGCACCCCTGCATTTATTATTTACCCCCTCTACCCCCTGCAAGAATTAAAAGAGAAAATCAAATAATTTCAGGCTAAAAATCTGACCAAGGCTGCCCAGGCTGCAGAGCCGAGGGGAGCAGCTTCTGGATGTGAAACACCAGCTGCCGCGATGCTCCTGGTAACGGGATGCAGGTTCGTGTGCCACGTCTGCTGGAGCACGCGGCGCCACGGAGCCCCTCCTGCCCGTGCAGCTCCCTTCCCACGGCGTGTGGCGGGCTGCAAGAGCTCGGTCCTTCGGGGATGGATGTTCAAGGGCTGAGCTTAACAGAGTCCAGTCTGAAACCCAGGGGCTGTTTCTTCTTTTAAGGGCCAGGCCTAATGACAAAGCCGGGGCGGATGGGGGTGGGATACACGTGCGTGCATGTTGGGGGGACAGGCGATACGGCAAGAGCGAGCAGTGGGATGTAGATTCCTTCCTCCAGCCAAAAAGTGAAAGGCTTCCTGGGGTTGTGCTCAACAGGGAAACTGCTTTGTGATGGTGGGCTTTGTGAGAGTTTAATTAACCGTGCCCTGAAGGGGAAGAGGGCAAGAGAGCCCACCGGGCAGTGGGGGTCCTCTCTGCACCCAGAAGACAGGCCGGTGGCGTGGCATGCCTGTTCTGGCTGCTATTATCCATCTTCCGATGGAATCACTCGTGGGCCCTCACGTTGTGGTGCCCATCATCTGCAGGCAGCCTGGAGACCGGTGGCCTCCTCCCTCATTTTAGGCAGGTCCAGGAATCCCTCCGGGAACCTCTTGGATGGCCCAAAGGAAGGCTGGGAGGGGGCTGCAAGTGGAGCCAGAGAAGAGATACAGATGCTTCTAGCCCAAACACTGAAACGCCCTTGGAAGAGGGACCCTGGAAGCACGGAGCGATGTCGGTTTGAAATGCCCCAGCTGGCCCGTATCAGTGATGGCCACGGTGCAGCTACCTCATCCAACAGATACTGGGCACTGCTACACCCGCTCCACCGCTCCCGGGTGAGATCTGGCCCTTCGCCTCCCCGCTCAGCCCCAAACCAGCTGAAAAGATGCAGTGACTGCAGGAATGACACAACCCAGGAGCCTGTTTTCACAGCTGACCTCAACGCTCACGTCTAGAGCTGCATCTCCGCTCCCCCAGTGCCACCAATTCACCTCTCAGTGCAACCACCACCCTAAGGCCATGAGGTGCTCACCAAGCACAGAAAACAGAGCAATTCTCGCTCCTGCCTGATGACAAAAGTGACGTGTCATGACACCGAGTGCTCCAGGACTTCAGCTGAAGCCAGCAGAAGTTACAGGCACTCAGCATCCTGCAGGATCGAGCTAGTAGCTCGGAAGCAACATGGGACATGAACGAGGTCATCTTCCAGCCTGTGGATGCTGGACGCTTGGCTCTGCTGAGCTGGTAACTAGTAACTGGCCCAGTAAAGGAGTCATTCAGTGGGAACCACCGCCTGGGAGAACCAGCACTTTGCTCAGGGCCCGTCGTGCTCCGAGCGGGCTGGGCCTCTGCAGCAAAACAGACTTCAGCTAACGTGACAAGCAAGCAGAGTGGCTTTCCCGTGACCTCCCTGCTCCTCCCGCGGCGCTTCACCCCAGCAAACAGCATCACGGTCCTCGTCCCCGTCCGGTGCCAACCCTGCAGACAGCTCTCTGACCGCCCCGGCCGGCGCGTAGGGACTCACCTTTAGCTTGTGCTCGTGCTCCTTGTTGACGCGGGACAGCAGCTGGGCTTTCCTGCGGTTGAGGGCGTCGATGAGGGCGTCACACTGGGCCACCAGGCAGGCCTCGAACTCCACGCTGTTCTCCTGCGGGTCAGAGCAGAACATCACAGCCCGGAGCACGTCTCCGTTTCAGTTGGGAAACCTGATTTTTTTATGGTACATGGGCCACTTTTATACGTGCAACACACAAATCTATACCATTTGCACATGGGGTACTTATGCCCTTGGCTCGTGGCAAAAGTGGTGGTGGCAGGTGAGGAACAGGTCTGGTCCGTCCTGCCACATCCTCGGATGTGCCTGTGGCAGAGATGGGAAGGGCTGGGGTCTCTGCTGCTCGCTCCAGGGCACAGGCAGCTTTGGGAGGAGCAGTTCTGGGGAGGGCTGTAGGGGGGGTAATATGAAAAGTCAGGTCTCCCTTTGGGAGAGCACCCATCAAACCAAGCTGGGAAGATGGGACAGAGGATCGCAGAGAGCAGCTCATCCTGGTGGGAAGGGGCTGTTCCTCAGCCAGGAGACACAGTACCTGGATTTGCTGCACCATGTTGCGGAGCTGGACCAGGAACTCTTTTGCTTCCTTGGCTCTGTCTGACAACCCGTTCAGGGCCTGGGAAAGCTGGCTCTGCAGAGGAAGAAAGAGTGGGGTCATTTCCATGTCCTGGACTCATCCTTGTGCTGGAGGAGCTGATGTGTGTGCGATGTGGGCTGGGGATGAACTGCAGCCCAGCACGGCCTTGCCAGGATGTGCAACCTTCAGCAACCCACTGAGGTGTCCTGCCCCTGCTGCCCTGAGCGTAAGGAGAGGAAAAGGAGGGTTAGCCATCATCATGGATACCCGGGGTTTGGGAAGCAGGTATTGGGTGTCCACCTCCTCCACCGGCTGCCCTGAGTGATGACAAACAAGCCACATCCATCCTGGGTCTCAAAGCGAGCCAGTCGCTACCTCCCCTGGATCTGCACTCTCCGGGGAGCCAGACACCACAAATCCTGTAGGATCAGGCCCGTGTTGGCTGAGGGTGATCAGCAAAAGGGCACAGGTCAGGCCACCCGAATCAGACTGAAAATCTCCTGAAAGCTAAGGTGAAGCAGGGTCCTCCACCACCACGCACAACACGGACTGCCCCTTCCTCCTCCAGTGCTAGGGCTGGGAGCTCCGGCCCGTGCCAAGCTGAGCGGCGTAACACGGCAACAATAACGATCTGTCTGGTGCTTTTTCATTTCCATGGCGCTTTCCAAACATTAACTCCGGAATCTTCCACTTTTGCCACGATTTCAGTAAGAGTTATTATCTCAAGAGCTGGGCAAACCACCCGTGACACAAATTTACCTCTGGGAAAGATTCTGCCTCTTTCGTGGGCTGCAAAACGCCTGCAAACACCCACGCGGGTTTTGAGGTGTGATCTTTCTTTGTGGGAGACACAGAAGGTGGCCCAGAAGACGGCCGATGTCCCTATATCTCCAAAAACCTAATGTGACCTGCGGTCGGGACGTCGGCACCGGGCTGGCACCTGCCTGGTCGTGCTGTGCTCCCCCGGACGCTGGCACGGGGAGAGGGAGGAGGTGAGACGAGAGCGGGGGGAGTGATGGTGCAGAAGGGATGCGAGGTCACCGGAGCGCAGCGCCTGCTGAGATGGGGCTGGGCTGAAATCGAGAAAAAAAGAATTGCTATCGAAGAGACGGGGTAACAAACGAATGGCAACCATTTAATGGCTCAGAAAATGACCCTACCGCTGCTTCCCTGGGAGATGTTAATACAACCCTAGCGATTTCTGCATTTCCTTTGTAATTTATCGTGCCCGAGTCATTAGGATGTGGAGCTAATCAGCGAATGCATCTCTAATAAAACCGGGATTGCTAAGTCAGCTCAGCAGGGCCTCCCCATCCCTCCTCCCCCCTCTCCCCGAGCAAAGGCTGGAGGAGAGCCGAGGTCGGAGCCCGAGCTGCTCCCCGTGGCCCTGGCAGCCCCACGCACCGCAGGGACAGCCCAGCCCTGCCTCGTCCTCCCCGCTGCGCCACGGCAAAACCCTCCATCGCCCTCCGCAGCCCCTGCACGGCTCCAGCCCTCCCAGATTTAGGAAGATGTCTTAAGCCCGGCAAGGTGGTTTGCTGAGAACCGAGCGCTGCAGGGCTCTGGTCTGTGATAATGCAGGCAATTAATAGAGAAAATCAGCAGGAGTTTGTTATGTTTACAAGCTCCTCATTAAAATTGCAGCATAGTGGGGTTTTTTCCTTTAATACAGTCTTTGGAAGGCTTTTTTTTCTATCAACATACATTTCAGAAAGGGGACCTTTATATCAACATAACTCTTTGAGGATTTCCTAATGGGAAAGCATTTTAAATGTGCTCTTAAAATTTAATAAGAGCTCTGCAGCGCCAGTGCGCACTGTCCACGTGCAGCTCCTTCACCCTGGACACCCCCAGCCTCACAGCACAACGGCTTCCACGGCGCAGCAAGCTTTGAGCCTGTCCACAAAAAGAAAAAGATGGTCCATCGCCTTCAGAGCATCCCTCCCCGCGGTCTTACACCGCATCGCCCTCCTCGGCTCAGCCCTTCCCTCAAGTTCCTACCTATGGGTGGCCACGGGCTCCTCACCAGAAAGGTGAGCTCTAAGGTTCGTTTGTTTTATCGGCATGAGCTTCATGGAAGGGTCCCCGTGACGCCGAGGCTCTCCCGGAGCGGAGACGCGTTCCTCGACACGTCCCCTTTGAAACAAACATCTGGCCAGCTCTCCCGCTGCATCCCCGCTGCTTACGGCAAGAGTCACCCCGCTGGGGACTCATCACGGTTAGCCCGTTAAACAAGGTTAATTAACGCTATACGACAACGGAGCGCGTATGGGAACGTGCGCAGGGACTCGCGGGCACGCCTGAATGTATTCGTTAAGGGCAGCGCTGCAGGCGCAGTGACAACGTGATTCATAACCGTACGCCACAGAAAAACAAAGTCCTTCTGGTTTCTGTTATGATGTTAATAAGTCAGAGGCTGCGGAGACAAATGAAATGACTGATCGGGTCTGTAAATTCTACAGGAACCTTCCATGACCCTTGGAGCAAACCCAAGCTTTAATGCAGTCTGTCGCTTCGGAGAAGGATTTCATCACCGGACACGGGAGGCAGAGTCACAGGTTTCCCACAAGTGTGTGATCTACACGGAGGGAGCAGGAGATGGAGATTCAGGAGGGGTCCTCTGCACGGGAGCAGGGGGTCGGAAGGACCTCAAGCCTTGTCTCCTGTGGATGCTGTACCAGATCGCATGAAACGAGATGCTGTTATTATTTCTGACACACACACTGGAGGGATCTCCCCTCCTTGCAAAGAGCTGAAACGTTGCACTTGGCATCTCTGCGTGGAAACAAAATCTTTGGGGCTTCTCAGGGCTGGGAACCCCACTCTGGGGACCACTGTCCCCCCTCAGAGCAGGGCACAGTGGATGGAAACCCAGTGTCCTCCAGCGTGCCGTGGGCCAGCCAGCTCGCATGCGCTGGAGCAAAGTCCCACCCCGAGCTAGTGCAGGCAGGGGAATTAATGAGTGTGAAATGAAGAAAAATCCCATTTAGCGCCGTCTTAAAATCAAGTGAATTTGTTCTTTGCTGAAAGCTGGCCTCTTTTTCAATGCTCTTGTTTCAAGACACTAAGAGGAGACCTCTGCAATTCACATCAGCATTAATGGGAGCTAAGCATTTAAATCTCTGTCCCTGGAGCACTTAGGAGAGGATCTGTCCCCTCTTTGTGCTCACTAATAGCTCTGTAACCCTCCTTCCCAGGCAGGGCTGACAAAGGGATTTCTGTCGCTCTTTCATTCTCCCTTGTCCCAGATCACGGGGAGCGCAGTCGGTGCAGAAGGCTGCTGGCTCAGTAGGGCTGAGCAAGCTCCAAGAAACGGAGAAAAGCACCATTTTAAACTCTGCATCATCTCTCAGATGGAGCTGGTCTGGTTCTCCTCCCGTATAACCCAGCTGCTAGCGATGGAGCTCCTCCGGGTTTACCTTGAGGCGAGGAGGGAGCTGAGCCTGTTATTTTAGGAGCTGCTGAGCACCGCTCGGCATTGGATGCTGGATTCGCGGAGCTGGTTCTGTGTGTCAGCTCCATCTGGCATACTGGGAAAAATCTGAAGTTGGCTAGCGTTGGCCACCAACAAGAGCGAGGAACAGTTGCTCTTGTTTCAAACCCCAACTCGCTTGCAGGCTCTGGCACTAGAGAAAGTCCCTGGAGTACTCGGGAGAGATGCCAGTCTCTGCTCAGTGGAGAGGAGGGCTCCTCTGCAAGCCAAAGCCCAGTTGCCAGCCCGAGTCCCCTGGCCACCCAGGAGCTGCGATGCCCTGCCCTGCCTGCCCCCTGCCCGCACGCGCTGCGACCACATGCAGGAAAGCTCGTCTGTGTGTGACGGTGAAAGGGCACGAATTCAAACGAGATCAGGAAAGGACGTTTCTGTTCAAGGTCAGGCCAAACGTACGCTCCAGCGCAGCATCTTCTGTACAAGGGTGCTCTTCCAGCCCCCAACAGTTCGCAGCTCAGGAACCTCATGAGGTTGGCATGGCTTTCACGTAGCCTGTGTAACCCCCTAGGATTTCTCTTCTACAGAACTGTCCTGTCTCCTTGTGACCACCATAAGCTTTTATCACTCACAAGGTCCTGTAGCAAGGAGTTCCCAGCTTCAGGTTAGGTTTACGGTTGGACTCGATGATTTTAAATGTCTTTTCCAGCCCAAACGGTTCTGTGCTTCTCAGTGCGTGCCCTGTGCAAGCCATCTCCTCTGGGCTGCTGCAGACCCTGCCTGCTTCAAAGGCCGTTTGCACCTGAGACTTCAGATGACTGCGCCTCCTCACCAGCCACAGACGGGCTAGGTGCTGTCGCCCCAGGATAGAAAACTCACCCCAAAAGAGCTCTTGGCATGACACTGAGAGCCCAGCACCTGCTCTAACATCCCAAACGTCGCAACCAGCTCCTGTTTCTTCTCTCTTTCCAACCAAGTCATCTCGCAGGCAGTTCCTGGGCTGGAGTATCCATACAGAGGTAAAAGAGAAGAGGAATAAGCCATGGCAAGAAAAGATGCTCTTCCCAGCTGTTCTGCTTGTACCCTCCAAAGGGTGAGGAGCTGTCACAGATGCTGGAGTTGAAGTCATGTGCTTCTTTCTTTTAATTAAAGCATAGGACCTACAGCCTTTGATTCTTGAGGCAAGCTTACTGTATGTGATGCCTGACTAATTAAAATGGGATGTTTAATTAAAACTTGCATTCAGTCAGGAAGTTGATGAAGCTAAACTGCTGCTAATTGGCTTTCGGCTCCAGTCACAAGAGCCTGACTTTTGGCTTCAGGGTTGTCTAAGAAGAGAACCCAGCAGCTCTGCTGGAGCTGCAGCCTGGGCTGAACCTGCGGGGCGAGGGGAGACCAGAGCGGGGTCCCGTGGGGAACGCATCTCATGGGAGACAGGCAATCCGGCGCTCCTGCTGGGCTTGCTCTGGGGCTGACCTGGCATCGCTGCTGACTGCTAAAACCCCCGGCTGCTCCCCAGCAACACCCCCGTGCCCACCGGCCCTGCTGCCTCTGCTCCCGCTGAACAGTCCCGGCCCCGTTTCCCTTGCAGTCATCCCCAAACGCTATCAGTGATCCCTGTGTACCTACTCTGGTGAAGACAAGTACACAAGCCCAAAACCTTCTCAGAAACAGCTCTATCTGATCGCTGCTCACAGACAGCAGCTTCCAGAGCTCCAGCAGCCTGCCAGCTCCTAACGCACGTGATGTGATGTGATGCGATGCGACACGACGCAGGGCTGGGCGCTTACTACCCGTCTGCATGTAAGGAGACCTCTTACCAAAACCGCCGTACACCTCTGCAGCTACGGCTACCAAACCTGAACCTCCTCAGAGGTCCTCTTCTCTTCCTCACCCTTCTGCTCTGCCAAGCCCGCTCCCCCAAAATCGCACTGGAAATGCAGATGTGCGGCAGATGTGCGGCAAATGGCGGGTTCCACCCCGAGGCAACCTCATCCCGAGCCCGTGTGCCCAAG